GTCAACCTTGGAACATGTTTCGTCAGGAGTGCTAGTTACAACAGGATTCTTGAACCCACTTGACAGGCCCATAATATATTCAGGAGACTTGAAAAGATGAGCTTTAGCCTTACTTGTCCTTTGAGATTTGTCACCTGGTGCTTTAAATAAACTTCCTCGAACAGATGACCTCACTGTCTTGCCCGTAGTTCTTGGTGATAGTGCGTTTATTGACATATTTTTGGGTGAAGTGTTGGCCCTCCTCATGGACTGGTCATGAGGTAGGTCTTTGGTAGGAGTACTAAAATCAAGTGCTCTGATATGACTATGACGTCTTCTAGGCGTACTTAGACTTGTGCGTTTAACAAGAGGCCTTCTACGACCAGTAAATCCGGGAGTATTACGAACGACAGAAGAATTTTGTGACTGCAATGCAACCCCCTTCGTAAAACTGTCTTCCTTCTCCTCAGATATGACATCTGAAGTCTCCGGCTGAGGTACAGTTTCTGGCTGAGTTACAATATCTGGTTGTGATGCAATTTCTGGTTTATCAATAATTTGTGGTTGATCAGCGATTTCTGGTTGAACAGCTATTTCTGGGTGAGCTGCTGTTTCTTCAATCCCTTCATTCTCAATAGGTTTAGTAAAACAACTCTCTGCAGCATGTGTGTCCAGATGCTGTGCCTCTGCAATTTCTTCAGAGACATCGGACACAAGGATGGGCATATCAGATGAGGCACTGTAGGAAATTGTGGTGCTCACATCTTTTCCATCGGCAGCATAAAGTGTCACAGTGTTTTTCTCTTTGTTGGACTCATCACTGGCAGAAGAACGAATTTGCCCCGCAGATTGACGACCACCTCTTGTAATGCAACGTTTAGGACGGGATTGTCTTTTTTTATTCTTGGGAGCTTCCTGAGTTTGAGATGATCCACAGCTACCTGAAAAGCAAAATAAACACTAATTTAATAAACTACTTGAAATTTAGCAAACAAAATGAACTGGTAAGATGACATGTGTATACATTACTTACTTGTAGATGGCGCACGTGGTATTTGCACTTTGGGCAAAATTGGTGCTAGAGGTGGCATAATTTGGACCTCATCTGTATCTGACAACAAGGAGGTTTCAAATTAAATAGATACTTAAAATTACTTGCAATAGAAGCAAAAGTAATACTACGGACTACTCACATAATGTGCTAACACCTTTTTCGTTTAGATATTGAGATATCTGCTGGTTTGATTGGCAATACACATAGTTTATTGTTGGAGGCATCTGGATCTTGTATGATTCATTGACTACGATGGGTGGAGGTGGACCTTGAGGGACTACAGCAGGAACTTCCACAACAGGTGACTTCTTCTCTTTAAATTTTGTTGCAGATTCAGGTATATCAATAAGGCTTGCAAACTGAGTGGGGTCTAAGTAGTTTTCATTCGAGGGTGATGTTATACTTTTCAGAAGTTTAGTCATAGGGGTCATGTTGTCAACCTCCATGATGCCCTTGGCAGGTGTTACTCCATCAGGCAAAAAATTGATTCCAGCACTTGAGGATTTTTCTGGTTCCACTTTGGATGGAGTGTAAACTGCAACATATCAATTTAATATGACATAGCATGTTTTGATAGATTACATTAATTGATAAGCCATCCAAAATAATGCCCACCAGCGTCTGCAACTAGGTTATCATATAATAATTGATTACTACTCCCACTCTTCTTTTTTCGTAGATGTTTTTTTCTTTCTCCACTCTGACTACCTCTGTATAAGAGAAAGAGGAATACTGCATACAGACACACTTAATAACAATAATTAGAGGGAAATAAGATGTAAAAGTTAACTCACTCAATGTGTTTCTGTGAATCATCACTTGATATTTCCTCAACTAAAACAGAAGATCAAAATCAAGGAAATGTTAAAATTATGAAAAACATGACCATGCATAGAACAGGCACATACACTGAAATAATTCTTGAAGAAGCTGTTCAAAACAGGGGTCCTCCATGATTTGATTTGTGACTGATTCTAAAGATTCACAAGACAAATTATAACCCTCACCTAGTTCCTGATTAACTTTCTCCACCATTACTTCCACTACACCATTCCTTAAAAAGCCTTCAGTTAGCCGATGCTGCAAAAGTAATTTCACTTCATTTAAGAACAAACCACGTAAGAAAACATCAAATTGTGCAGGCATTGAGATAGACTTTACCTCAGCAGGGGGGTTGGTTTTGATGGGTGTTGGTATTTTTAATTTGGTGAACAATTTTTGTCCATCCTCTGCTGCAGGGAGAAATTGTAAACAAATAATAAATATTAACACCTCTCATGATGTCATAATTGTTTTCAATTGGAGTTCTACATTACCTTTAGTGATATTAGAAGAATTTATTGCACTGATAGGTAAACTTGACTGAGGATCATCATTTTCCAAGATAACAATATTGGAGCCAAAACATTTAGTCACTGTATATGACCGCACAGGCTCTTCAGTCTTTGAGAAATCTCTCTGCATTGTGTCTGGTACTGTCGATGGCAAACTGACATTCTCTCCAGGCTGGGGAGTGAATTCAGTCCTGGGTACCTGCATCACAGCAGATTGGGGGACAGATGATACATGGACTAGGTGCTGTGAAGTCACAGACATCTGCCCAGGTGTAAGAAGTGGGGCTGGTTCTTGAAAGGAATCTATGCAGTCATTTTTGAAAGTACTAGTATGTGACATTGCATCAGCTTTTTGATGGGCACTTGACTCTGAGTGAGCCATAAGACTGTTTTCCTGAACCCTTAATTCCATCTGATTCGCTAGCTGTGAAATTGCATTAGCTTTTTGATGGGTGCTTAACTCTGTTGGTAATTTGGTATTTGAATTCTGATTTGGGTGATGAATTTGAGATTTGCAGGTAGTAACAGGAGGAGTCAGGGGAACATGTTGAGCTGACTGAGTGGAATCTATGTTGGCTACAGCAAACGGGCTGTGAGTTGATGAACTGTCTGGCAAAATCTGTGGAAAAACTGAAACAGACAAATGTCGATTGGATCTTAATTAACAGCTCCTTTAAGCCAAGACAAAGAAAGTTTTGGTGAAGCTTACCTATTGGCTGGTCAGGTGAGTCATCGCCTTCCACAATTTGCCCATGAGAATTTGTTTTCCTTGACCGAGGGCGTGATGAAAAAGTTGACATTTCAGAGTTTTCAGACTTACTTGATAATGCATTTTGACCCTGTCATATTAAAAAAACAAAAGATCAATAAACTAACATCACAATAAAGAGAATTGTGTCTAAAAATGTTTTATAATGAAGACAAATAAATAAAAACACACACACAAAACAACAAAAATAAGACAGGTAACAAACACAAACCTGATGTGGATGTAAATTAATATGGACTTGTACAGGCTGACATGCTCTCACTAAAGACTGGAGACACTCAATCATAGTCCCATTAGGTTGCTCTGACATAGATGAGACACTTTCTTGAACTGCAACAGTAATATAATAAAATGTAATACATGTAAATAAATACTAAAACTAAGTGCTAGATTTCCAGAATCTCTTCTAGGTAGGTAAATGGTTTAATTTTGGTGTAATCAGATACATACATATTTATATATATACATACATATATAGATTGTTAGATAAAGATAAGAAGGTGGAAAAGAATTAGTCGCCACTTACCGATTGTGTGTACCGTGCAGTACTCTTCTAGTACATCTTTTAAACTGAGGCCATTTACTTTGGTAGGATATTTTTTCCCTCTTTGTGAAAGAGCACGAATCTCGCCGAGGTGGGGGGAAGAATTTAAAAAACATTTTGCTGCATCCCCACATTTTTCCTCTTCTAAATAACCTGAAAAAAGTAAACCAGCAAAAGTTCAAGAGACAACAAACTTAGGTTATAGCTTTTTCTAGACTACATGATATCTTAATGTTTCCCGAGATTTGGAATTATTTCAAATCAGACAATAATAGTGCCACAATTAACTGGGTCTTTTAAATAGATAGCATTGCAAACATCAAAAATAATAAAGAGCAAGAAAAATGACTTTGTGATAAAAGAAAGGCAATCAATTAATTCAATATTGACACCTGAAATGTTCAGTCACAGCAGATAGAATATCTGCCAAGTAAATTGAAACAGGGGTAAACTGTCATTTCCAACAACTCATGCATAGAACAGTTAAACGTACAAAGAAACAGGAATATGTTGACCCCAAATCATGAGTAAAAATAAATCACTAACTTTCGAAAGTGCACGCACGGATGCAGGCAATGGCCGAATGACAACGAAAACCAAATCACAAAAAATACATATTGAGCTAGAACATAATTGCGGGTCCAAACAAAAGTATTGTCAAGAAAGCAACTAGACGGTAAACCTATTTCCCGCCTTAAAGGTAGCTGGCTGCAACGTACCTAAAACTAATCTTGCTATCTCGGAAGGAAGCAATGCTTCCATATTGTTGAAAAGCTGAGTTCACGAATCACAACTAGATTAAACACATGAGATGCGTACATGAAGGCACCATTAATCAAAAACAATACAATCTTTTTTCACAAATATCACAGAAATCCTCTACAGCACATCACTTCATCGTCCATGTCTCCAGTTTTCTATTGCTCTCTCGGCTCTCTCTTTCTCTCACTCACAATATTTGTTTCGGATTCTCTTCATGCCCTTCCGTGATATGGCTATGAATGCTTGTAGCCATGAAGCCTGAGTTAGGAAACTAGCCTCAGCAGACAGAAAGAGAGAACTATTTTGAATAGAGAAAAGGCCGAAGTAGACCCCCAAAATATGCCACCAAAATTAAAATTTTGCTCGAATTTACACGTTTTTGACACATTTAACACCAACAATTAACAGAAAAGATGGAAACAGTGGTACGGGGTTCTCGTAGTACGGCATTAGATCTGTAGATGGCGCGTGCCTCTGAAACTCATTTTTTAAACCTTCTTTCGCGTTTAACTTCTACAGTTAATCATTCCAATTTTATGTCGATATACTCAATACGTTAGAAAAGTTCAACCATTTGCCTGTGTCACGTACTGGCAGATAGGGATTCGTATCAAACCCTCAGTTTCGGGAATAACATTTCAAATCTGGTGCGATAATTTTGCAGCATATGACGTCACAGTGTGCGCCACACGCCATGTTTCCGCCGTGACGCATGCGTAATTTTGAGAAGTCTTGTTGGTTGAGGAGCTGTCCCGGTTTTGTCATTTTTGCTATCAAATAATCTTATTGATTCAAATTCGGTTGTAAACACAGTTAGATCATGTCGAAACAAGATCAGATTTTAACCATAGAGCCTCAACATGAGCTGAAGTTTGTAGGTAAGTGTTAAATAAATAATGATCAACCTCGTAGTTGAAAAATGGATCAACTTTTTGAGCTGGGCCTATAGCTCGCATTTCCCTTCACATATTTCTCCCTACATTACACTCCCATCTCCGTTTTAGTCCGTATTAGATCTACTATCCTAGTCTGTGCAAGTAAATGTTCAGTGTTACGCCCCCTCATTCCCGTATTCTTTAAATAGTTTTGCACCCCTCCTCTTTTCTAAGGACTGAGAAATGACAGTTTGTTTCGTTATGTAGTTATCTGTTATAGCTCTTTTTTGGAAAAGGACCATATGATGTATCATTTTTCACGCTACTAGTTTAAAATCTTACTATCTTTTTGGCCGTCGTAATATTAAATTTGGTCCGTTGCATTCGTACCCTTAGACCAGGTCATAATTCTATGCACTCCAACTTAAAATTTACATTTCAACTATCATCATTACAACTTCTAGAGTGACCGTTGTATCAAATCATTTCATGCATTTTAATCAGTCTCTTCTTTTTCCTCATCTGAAGTTATGATAATTGGATGGGATCATGAAGTTAACCTATTTAGGGTTAAGTCAATATTATTATTTAATAGTGGTGACATAACTATATAAACATTCATAAATTTTGAAAGCATTATATGTGCTGCATAGTCTTTAGCTGGTTAACATCCTCATTGAGCCTTAGCAATAACAAAAAATTACCCCTTCCCTCAAAGTAAAAGAAGGAAGGAAAGGTAACAGAAAAATGTATGCTTTGCAAGTGTTTTTTTATGTCCATATTTACCTTGATATTTTTGCAGTATAAATTCTTAGGAAGTACTGCTTGAATCAAGTTCAAAGGCCCTTTTCCCTCTTGTTTCTTTATCATTTTAAGTATTCCTCTAATCTATTTATTTCAAAGAATGCTTACCTGGATTTGGTATGGTAATTAATTTTTATGACTTTATGTTGCAGGGACCTTCACATATCCGATCACTTCTTATATTAAACTATATAATCCATCAGATAAAAAAGTGGGATTTAAGATTAAAACTACAGCACCAAAGAAATACTGTGTTCGACCAAACTCTGGGGTATTGGCTTCAAAAGAATTTACTGATATTGCTGGTATGTTAATGTGTATTTTTATTACAACAATGTTTGGAGGTTTAATTCAAAGAAGACTGAGGGGCCTGCAACTGACCCAATTTCTGTTTCAGTGAGTCTTCAGGCACATGATTTCGATCAATCAGAGAAAAACAAACATAAATTCATGGTGCAAACAATGTTTGTACCTGATGGAGAAATAAACCTCGACTCGCTGGTATGTTCATGCATGGTACATTTTTGCCTTGAGGAGGTCCATTTACTTTTCTGTATGGGATGTTAATCTATTTTTCAGTGGAAGGATGTTAAAGAGGAGGCTGTAATGGGCACCAAGTTGAAATGTGTGTTCGAAAGGAAGGACAGTAATACTACCGGAGCAGGAACAGGATCGTCAACTGCTATTGAAGCATCTAATGCTGTTGTCAGTAGCTCAGCTCCCTCAAGCCATGAAGACAAGACTAAAAGAATTGGTGACTCGGTAAGATTCTTAACCCTTTGTCATTTAATTTTTTTTAATCAATGAAAACATTTCCATTGAACCATGTGTTTCTGTGTTACGTGATGGTTGTGCAGCCAAGTGTCCACCATCAAGAAGGAGAACTTCAAAAGCCAGCTAAAGATGCTTCCTTGCGGCAAGAAAACATGCTGCTGAAGGTTTGTTGTATTTATTAAATTTAATATCATCTTTCCCTCTTTGTGTTGTGTTTTCTTCTCTATTTAAATTTCGAATCTGACTATCTTCTCACTTCAGGAGGAGATCTTGAGACTGCAGCAGCTTGTGAAATCTGAGGGACATGGTCAGTCTGCCCCAATGCGTTCGGCAACCTCAGCTGTTCAACAAGCACAACCCGTTCAACCTCTGTTGGTCATCATCGCTATTGTTGTTGGAATGGTCGGAATTGTCCTTGGAAAGTTTATTCTCTGATTGCATGTACTTAATGCAGCTTCAAATTTGAAGATATATGAAATTTATATTTGGCAACAGCATCTGAATTACTTGATATCCCTTCCCTCCAACTTACTCTCTTGTTGCCTTAGTCACGTCTCCATTCCACTTAAAATTTAATATATTAGTGGATTAATTCTTATTCCCAGGCAAGAGTTCCTCATTATACCTTTCTTATCAGCCATACTATCGAAGGGTTGTACTTTTAGACTCCTCTTACAGTCTTGCACTCATTTCATGTATGACATTTTTGGTTTTGTTCTCACTTGTTGGATATTTTAGCTTTTGGCTGATAATTCATGACGAACTATTGGGTAGTTAAAGGTAGATGCATTTGGTAGTTTGCTGAGTTTGCTTGAGCTCTCACACATTCAAAACATAAACTTAGCTGACATTTGAGGAGTAAATTGTTATAAATATGCAACCAATGAAATTAAAGATTTTTTTTTTTTTAGATATTCTCATTATTTTCTGATTTTTTAAAATCCATATTCACCACTTTCAAAATTTCACAAAGCAAGTTCTTGTGAATGTGGCAGCAACTTTTCATCCTCATTCAGGGCCAAGTTATCCTAAATGGAGAGAGGTCCACTGAAAAATGGTTGAATTTGCAATATTATAGGCTGTGACACTTCAAGTTTGCGCTAGTTATTATTTATTTATTTTCTTTTCTGTTGCAAAGTATAGTGCAGACCTCTGTATTGTTGTCCTTAAACATGCTTCCCTTAGACACCTTTTACCCTTGTATTTGCAACAATTTTTTCTTCTTGGCTGTTGTGTGTTTTTTTATGTTTACTTTGTTTTATGTTTTAAAAATTGTCTGAGAATCTTTCAAAATTCTATTGAAGGTGAATGACTTTGCTGACATTTCTATGATGTTGTGAACTGAAGGTTTTTAATGCTGAAATTGCACAGATTGTTAATAGCTTTTGCCTGTATGGAAATGCCTTACCACAATATCCTTACAAAACAAATATCTCTTGTGAAGGATTCCGCACTTTTCTTTTTAGTCATGTAACTTTTTGTTTTGCGTTAAATATCACTAACTACAGTGATGTAAATTGGAAGTGGGAAGCTTGAGCCTAGATTAAGTGTACCCTGTACTGTGTAACCTCTGGTCATCATCAAAGCTAGCCTCATACTCTTGTTGCTTGTACATCTGCAAAATGGCTTCATAACAGCTCTTTTCCTAGAATCTAACAAATAATGTCAAAACAAGAAAGTTTTTTGTAAATATTTCAGTGTCTGAATGGTTTCAGTTCCAGATCTTGCAATCATATGTAAAGAATGTTTTTATGTTTTGAATCAAATCAAGTTGTTCTCTAATTATGATTTTGACATTGAACAATGTGATTCATATTTGCTGTATACGAAGCTGTAGTCCTGGAAAACTTTTATATGCTTGGCTTCAAATGTCATGTATGTAAATAAGTGTTCTTCAACACCTCACTGACAGTTTAATTTTCCAAGACATTTGGATATTTTAACTAAAAATCATGGAGATGGGACTATTGTTTGGTGATTAATGCAATCAGCAATCTATAATGTATTGTAGGAAGCCATAAGAATTTTCAATTTTTGAAGGTCATACTGACCTCTTTGGGACTATTACATTCACTTGTTAGACATACAGATTTAGAATTTGTTTATTTTATAACCTAATTTGATAAAGTTTTGACCATCTAGATTTCATTTATCTTCTTGTATTTTGTTTTCTGTCACCATTTATGGAAACTGTGAGACTGGAGAAGAAATCCACTTGTTAATAAATACATTGGAACATCCTGATATAAAGAGTCCAGATTAGATGTAAAAATGTAAATTTAGTCGTAAATGGCACTTTTGTAAATAAATTTGTGTGTTTGGATCAATAATAAATGTGCAGTTCTGAGCAAAATTCTAAAAACTCTTTGATTTGATCTTAAACGATTAATACTTCAGTCAGAGAATTGTAATTGCTAATGACTTAGAAAACAAGAAAGAGGAAACCATCTTCTTTCTTATCAGAAATGTTAGTTGTGATTGAAGTTGCTATACTGTCAAAATAGGTGAGGCGAAGTAAGATCTGCCTATCTATCACAATAAGTAGAAATATTTCTTACAGAATTCAAGTTGAGGTGGCTTTTTCAAGTTAAGAGAACAAATTAAATTACAGAGAAAAAAACATCCCAGAACTGATAACTCAGGAGATAGCCGTTTCACCCCTCATACATAGCTGTCTTACAATGTGCCATTCATCGCTCATTATTGTGTTCCTTTGCCGAAGTGTGCGAAATGAAGATTTAGGGCTCTGCTCTGTAACTCCTTTATTTGGGAGTCAAATCTTGTACAGGATGTTTTTGTACTTTCTGCTAGTAATCAGACATCATCTAAAGAAGACTTGATTCTGTGGTCTGTGACTGTGGGTCAAATTGAATTAATCAATTGATGGGCTTTTTTACTTTCGGTGCATTAAACCATTGCTTACTTGCAAGCCCGAAGAGAATTACACGGAAAAATGTGATCCTGTAAAGGCCAAGTTTCACATTAAAGAAAGGTCTTCGAGGATACAAACTTTGACCCAATTTAAACTGGTGTACGTACAACCCTTGTGTACCCAAGAGACAAAACATCTCAGAAACTTCAATGTAGTAATTTAGGATGTAACTTATTCTTAGCCTTTTCCTTTGATAGGTATAAAAGATCTTCAAGGCATGTGAAGTTACAACATACTAGTTATTACGCGACTTAATGTGCTACTGACTCTGTTCAGCATATGCGAAGGTGTTGGAAGTGTTGCAGCCTGCTGGAATCTCCCTTCCAGTTAGGACCTATTTTCAAGGAGTCACAAAGCAATTCATTTGTAGGCTAGTTTGATTGTATCTGCAACGATGGTGAGTTAACTTCACAACACTCCAAACTTGGAATGTGTTTCATTCACTAATTTCTTAGCGGTGTCTAATAGCTGCATTTTAAATTTTTTGACTATGATCTGCTCGATTTGCAGACTCTTATACTTATAGGTAGGTGTCAGCATGTCTTGGTTACGGTGTGTACTATTTTTAGTGAATGCTACAAACATGGGACAAATTTGTCTAAGAATTGTTATGTAATAATTACTATGAATTATTAAATGTTAGAAGTGCAATACTTTGTTTATGTTTTGCCTTAAGCAGTAAAACTATGCGAGAGAATTGAAGTACACTGTTGTTCATTGTAGTTTAAATTTGCAATTTTTATGTACACATTCTCTTCATTCTTTCATCTGTGGCTGACTTTTGGGCAGTTACCCAAGATATTCGGATGGAAAGTTTTACTTTCACATATATTCTGAGGTACAAGAGAATTTGACTGTAGAGGTAGAAATCTTGTGCATTTCATGTTAAATACCTGCCTGTAAAAATTATACATGGGGGCGGCGATTTTTGTTGACTTATACAGGAAACAAAAACTGTTTATTTCTCAATTTGCTTTTTATATGGAAATTCTCTGAACCCAAATTGGGTTTATTCATGACTGGTGTTAAAAAGCTGATTAAAAAAAAAAGAAGATACAAATATAATGAATGGACTAGTGTGTATTTTTAAGCACACCTTAAAGTTTCCCATACAGATACCAGTTTCAATAATTATCAACTAAGTTTTAGAAGGTTTTACTGGGCACACCAGAAAATGGACACATGTTCAATTCACAGACTGACAGATTAATACACTAAAAATTGTATGTTACAGTGTTAGAGGTCATAGCATCATAGATGAAAGTATTATTGATAGGTTTGTATTGATGAGTGATAAATTTGATAACCTCTTGCGCAACACACCCACCTGCAATTGACGAAAAGGTTTCTTTTTAAAACTTGTGCAATTGCAAACATCCAACAGCAACAGCACCTATAGCAACTAACTAAACTATTACAGTTCACACATGACACTTACCCATGAAAGAAGAAACGGAGTGCAGCTCTGATCCACCATAGCGACAGATTTCGTGAACATAATCATCCTTGGCCAGCATCCCACAACCCCATTCATTTAAAAGCTTTGATATACAGCTCTGGAAAATGAAAGTTCACTATGTACTAGCAGAAAAAAAAAATGAGGACAGCATAGTTTGCATACAGATAAGATATACCTTCAATTTAACAATATCAGGCTCCACTTCAAACTCCCCTGGATACAAATTGTATTCAGAATAAAAACGATCTACTCCTCGAAGCATTACATAGTAAACCATCATACTATCTGGATTTTCAAGTTCTTGAGCTATAAAGAAAATTTTGAATAAATATATATAGATAGATAATTAATTAGATTATTAAATTAAAACACATTCACAACCTATATGTACCTATTAACATATTGTTAGTTGACTTTGGATGATACTCATCAGCTATCTTAGATCCTCTCATTACATGAAGACAGGCAGCAAATTTGCAAAACTGCTTGACATCTGACTCAGAAATAGTGTCTGCAGTTTGATTCAACTGATGTAATAATTGCTGAACTCGCCGGTAAACCACATCTGTATCACGAGCTGCATGTTCATAATACCTGAGCACAAGAGACAAGTCTAGATAGTTTTAAATATTTCTCTGCTGTCACTGGGTGACTTATTGCAACTTACACTTGTTGGAGTGCAACATAGTAGTCAGTTTTTGCAGTCATGTCAGGAACAGATCCACGTAAAGGCAAATGCCCCTTCCCCTCATTTTCTACAAAATCTCTGATAGCTTTAGCCATGATCCAAAATGGTTTGCTCTAGATCAAAACATTTACTCAATAATTATTATGAAATATTTTAAAGATAGCTAAATGTAGATAGGAGCACTGATGAAAGAAACATCACCTTTGATGTAAGATTTACACAGGCATCATCATCAAGTATTTCTCTAATACTTGAAGGAATTGTAGTGGGTTGAATGCAAGAATTAACTGCTTTGATAGCCTCCTCAAAATTTTCTTCAGCCTCAACATTTCCATGTTCATCAACTAACAAATCTGAAAATTGATAAGTATTGATAATTACTAATTACAAAAACCTACAAAGGTGTGAATAATTTTAAAAATTGAGGAATATTTTACTCTGTCTAATAATGTCTTTGAATTCTTCTTTCTCCATTCTATTTTTGGGAAGAGACAAGCCTTTCTCAGCCTTCCATTTGTCCAGAACTTTCAACAATATGACAACATATGGTATGTGTGCATGCTCCTTCAATTCTAGAGAGCTAAGCTGAATGGAATCAACATGTTCACGCAAGCCTTGAAATGGTTGGTCCAAACGAAGATCTGGATTTTGATTGTCAGGGTGTGATTCAACTACCTGAAACAAATGAAATAATTCTGAATGCCAAAAATTTTATCTGGAAATACCACAGGAAAATTGAAGAAACCATTAAGGTAACATCTTACAGTATGTTCAGCAACTTGAATGCGCATGTAACCAAGAAAACCATAGCTTCGACAGACAATAAGTGGAATTCCGCACTCCCATAACTTTTCAGAAAGTGTTATCAATGTCCTACATTTTTGAAGAAGCAACTGTTATTAGTAGCTAGCGTAAGTGAAATATATGATTCAGAGACTATAGAACTAATGTGCAAAATATTCAATGATGAAAGACAACAATATACCTTTCTGACAGAGCAGTTCCAATAACAACATGAAAATTGTTGAAAAAATCTGGATTATTTAACAAAACTTGATCAACATCTTCATCTACAGAATCTCCATGAACGTCTGGGTTCAATTCAAGCAGCAAACGTAAGGCTACAGCAGATCTTGATTTACCAATGCTTTCAGCTTCTAAAAAAAAGCTGCAGAAAAAAAAAAACAAGCCCTTTGTGGTAAAACTGAAATAATACAGTATACATAACACTGATAAGATATAGCACTCACTTTGATCCAACATCCTCTTCAATAATTTTTTTCCCATCTACAATTGTGAAACCACCAATTCCTGGCAGGACCAGGGATTTTAAGATTTCTGTTCCCAGTGCTGTTGCATTGATGAGACATACTTGAGAAGCTTCGAGCGCAGTTTGTCCATGATCACCCCATAATCTAGAACAGACACATACAAACTTAGAAGTTTTAAATATGTTTGTAAACAGAAGAGAAAATGTGTGGAAAACATACCTGAGCTGTCTGTCATATTTCTTGGTTTTCTCGGATTGCTCTGGTGATTTGGGTGCAGGTGAGGACATGGTGAAGTATTAACTATAAGCAGGACATTCAATTATTAAAAGGGCATTTTTTGAAATAAACACTAGACATATAACCATATATACGTCAGTATACAGCTAGTAAGCGGTTCACAAACAAAATTAATTTTGTGGTAGCCGGCTCTATGCACCTTTCATATGATTGGTTCAAATAACGGGCGACACACGGTTCAAAAGAATACAAAGAGCTAACGTTGAATAAATAATCACGAGCAATGAAACTAAAAAATCTAAACTTAAGTCAAAATTACATGACGTGATGAATGACAGATTAGCAACAATAGCAACAATAAAATTACGATATTCGAGCACGCTTAGCGTTGCTTCGCGTACAACCTCAGCTGTTCTTCTGCCAATAACGAAGTACACACACAGCGCCCTCCCTCTTCGAGGCGGCATTAGTGCCCACTACGCGGAGGGAAATTCGATTTGTGGCGGTAAAGCCTTGAAGAAGCCTTGGGACTAGCCGACTAGCTTGAGAAAAGGCGGCCCTTTCTCAAGATAAAGAAATGCCGAAAGCCTAGAAAAGATTGATACGATACCCATATTCTTCGTTCTACCACACATTCTGCATCTGAATGTCAAAAGATTTTATAAGAATATTTTAGGATTGAAGGTTAAGAAGAGAATTATAATATTGAGGCAACAAATAATGAGGATGGCGTTTGTTTATTCATAATTTCAACAAAAAGAACATGAGGCACCATATTTTTTTATTATAACATGACAGTAAAACTGAAAAGAATTAAAGCACTTATTTCTGATTATTTTTGGTGGCAGTGTCTATCAACTACCAATGTGCTTCCCCAGAGCAAAACTTAGGCATTTTTTCTTCTAGGAAAATAAATATTTGTGTGAGTTGCTGTCACGGTAGTAGTTAGATATCAAAGTCAGCTGTTCTCTTTCTTTCCAAAATCAAGAACATTACGAAACGAGGAATAAATTTTTGATGAATTCAAAGACTTTTGGTACTCTTCTGATAATCCAAATCGACATTGTTCAGCTGTCAAGCCTAAGGCACCTGTCTGGCGGTTAGATGGATACGTATTGGACCAGTGTCCTCTTGAAAGTCTTTCGAGAGATTTCAAATGTCTATCGCAGGTTTGAGGATTCCCAGCCAAGTCCCCCCGAACTGAGAATGCCACCTTGCCTTCTTCACGGATGTGTTTTGGAAGACTCCTGAGGAAAAAAGGCAATTATACGCAAGATAAACGTCAATGTGTTATAGTTGTAAGGTAGGTATATTGTTGATAGCTCTGTTCATAACTACCTTAAAGGTGCTGGGTACTCAGGATACACCGGCCAGTTTTTCAGTATTCTAAGGAACCTCTCGTACTGTTTCGCCATACTGCAAATTTTGCAAACATATTCCAAAAAAGTGACAATTTACTAACATTAAATGAAAATAAATGCAAAGACGAACTAAATATCAGAACTTACGTCAGAAACCTGAACCCCGCGCCCGGGCTAGCAGAAGACAAAATGCCTGTATTTAAGGTATTTCCACGTTATTAGCAGTAGGAATACTCGTGGTGGTGTGTGGAGTGAGTTGAGTTTTAGCTTTCAAGTGCATTCAGTTTAAGGAGGCAACGCTAACTGATAAATTGTCACCTGATGTAACTTAAACTATTAATTATAATTAAAGAGATTCATCACTGTATATTATACTCGTTCAACTTTGTTGTCTTGTTGGGAGGAAATGTATATGTGAAAGTACTAACCTAATCCAACATCAGTGATGGATTTTGTCAAAAGAATTTCAGTTATATCTGAAATAAAGAAATGTTTGGGCTTCAAAAGAAGTCGAAGAAGAGTTTATAGCACTCTAAAAAACACGTAGGGTTTATCTGTTTTTAATGACAAGTCATGAGGTGTTTACTGAACCAATCCTTAAATTTAATGTGTGTATGTCCCACTTCACCTTTTCAGGGAATGGAAGCCTGTAGTTGGACTAGAAATCCACGCTCAGATACAGTCTGCCTCCAAGCTGTTTTCAGGAGCAGGAACAGATTTTTGCTCCTCGACCAACAAATCGGTTGCTCTCTTTGATGCTGCGTTTCCTGGCACCCTTCCCGTAAGTGAGATCACGGTTATGCCATTATTGAAGTTTGTATTTTTATTCCATTTTATCTGTATGCATACAGGTGCTTAACCAACAATGTGTCAAGGCAGGTGTCTTAACAGCATTGGCATTATCTTGTGATCTGAATGAAGTGTCCTCCTTTGATAGGAAACACTATTTTTATTCTGATCTTCCAGTGAGTAGACATCTTTCTTTCACTACAGTAACATTTTTACTTGAGTTTGTTTGTTATTCACACATATATGTGCATCTCACCTCTGTTTCAGGCAGGTTACCAGATAACTCAACAAAGATCGCCTCTTGCAAGGAATGGAATTTTAAAATTTGTTGTATATAAGGGGGGCGAGAATGCTAGGCTTTATGAAACATCCTCGCAGATTCACCAAATCCAGCTTGAACAAGACAGTGGACGCTCTTTGCATGACAAAGACAGGTAATTAAATATCTTAAACTTTAATGTTTATTTTAGTTTTAAAAACTTAAACATCTTAGCCATAATGATTTATAAGTAACAATAGCTTCTCTTTTTTGAGATAATTGTGCTGTAGAAACCAACCGTTTTTGGTGAAAAACTCATCTCATCAGTTCAGTCATGAACTAGGTTGTTGGCTAGGTATAAAATATTTTTATTGTTTCTCAGGAGTCTTGTAGACCTTAACCGAGCAGGTTTACCTCTCATGGAGCTTGTGTTTAAACCTGATATATCTGATGGTGAGGAAGCAGCTTCTCTTGTTAAAGAGCTTTGTCTTATTTTGACGAGGCTGGGAACATGCTCATGCAAAATGGAAGGTAATGTACTAATTTAGCCACCTACCAATCTTGGATTGTGTTACATATTTCATTTTGTTTGACATTCTTCCAGAGGGTGCTCTGAGAGTGGATGCTAATGTATCGGTTCACAAAGAAGGCACACCTCTTGGTGCTAGAACAGAAGTGAAAAATATTGGATCCATTCGAGCTGTCGCCAATGCTATTGATTTTGAGATTGCACGTCAGATAAAACTTCTACATAATGGGCAAGAAGTTATTAATGAAACACGGTCATGGGATTCTGAGACACTTAAAACAGTTCCAATGAGAGATAAGGAGGAAAAACAAGTAAGTACATGATGAATGATGCTGTAAATGATACACATTGTTTTAATTTAAAGATTCATTGAAATACCTTTGTAATGTTTGGTATTAATACTATATTTCTGACAGGATTATAGGTTTATGCCAGAGCCAAATTTACCTCCTTTACATTTGAGGATGAGGGAAAGTCAACCGTCTCATCCCCACATGGTAGATGTTTTAGCACTTAAGAACAAAATCCCTGAATCTCCATTTGAGATGCGCCAAAGATATCAAAAGGAATACAATATTTCATTGCTACAAGCTGTTCGTCTTGTGGTAACTTATTTCTATTTTTGCTATTATTGGAAAGTTAATAAGCTTGTGCATGAGGATTGTGCTTGCATAAAAGAGGGGACCATGATTGTCTCTTTTTACACTCACAAACCTTGTGTGCTTATATCTAGCATGTCTTTATCCTCCTAATAATACAAGTGACTCATTACAATTTTTTTTCCCAAACCTACAGAATGAGGATGCACTGCTTCCATTGTTTGCGGAAGCAATGAGTGATAAGAAAGACCGTAATGCGACTATATTGACCAACCTACTGCTTAATGACATTTTGACTGTACTGAATGAAAACTCAGAAATGTATGTATGCATATCTTTTAACTGATTTTTTTTACCTGAATACATAATTTTCAGATTGAAATTTAATACTTTATTCTAATATCTAACACTCTAAATTTGCAGAGTTTTTATGGTAAGAGATGTAGGCTGTATCACAGATATGTTGGATAGTGGAATTATCAGCAAAAGTATCGCTAGAAGTATTATTGCAGAGTTGGCTCAAGGCTCAAACATGTCTGCAAATGAGGTGAAAAAAAATATTTTTATCTTATAAAATGCCATGCTAATTCTGTTTTTAAATTTCACCTCAATTCTTTTTTTTTTAAATCTACTAAAAAGTTTTGTTTTGTTTTTTAGATAGTAGCAAAGAAAGGCTGGAGCCTCATCAGTGATCAAGAGGTTCTTGAAGACCTCTGCCGCTGTGCCATACAAGAAAATGAAAAAATTCTTAAGAAACATGTCTCCGGGAAAAAGAATGGTATCGAAGCATTTGCAAAAATTGTCTGGAAGAAAACTGATGGAAGAGCTAACATGAAATTAGTCAAGGAATGGTTCCAGAAAAATTTGCCATATGCTGGGAAATAAATTTAGCACTTGGTAAATATTCTTCATTTCCTCAACTCAACACTGAGTCCCCTTGAATTTTTGTTGTATTTTAGACCTGTTGTTGAGGCCTGCTCCGTAGTTACATAACTTTTTTAAAAATAATTTTGCAATTAAAGGAGAAAGGGAAGGGATGGGGGTGGGGTTTAGGTGTAATACACCTTTGGTGGGGTAGGGAAGGACGGTGGTCTGGAGACTTGAATGCACTGGTGCGCGCAAGCCCCGGTGTCGGTACGTGTCGGTACCCATGACTGTTTGTAACGCTGACGTCTTGCAGTGCAGAAGGCGCGGCGGTGCTCCGGCGCGGCCGAGTGTCCCTCCCTCCTCCCTCGACGTCTACTTCAGGGCGACCGCAGAAACCGAACCGCGCGTCGGAGCCCGCGATAGCTAAAGCGGCTGCGGCAAAGCAGCAGCGAGACCGACGAACACAAGAAGAGGCGGAGACAGAGAGAGAGAGAGAGAGGCTGAAGAACGGCAGAGAAAGGACAGAGAGGGACAAAAAGGTAAGAAAACCGTCCCCCCCCCCTCCATTCCGCCTCAAGTAAGCGAGCTGGCAGGCGAGCGCGGCTGCGAGTTGCTGGTGGTGGTGGCGGCTGCGGCTGCGGCGGCGAGCAAGGTAGAGGGAAGGGAAGGGGATTTAGTCCAGCAGCCGACGTGCTCCGGTGCGGGTCGCTGCCGCCACACGCTGCGCCACATCGCGGAGACTCGCGCGTCCTGTCGTCGTCGTCCCGTCCTGTTCGCGCCCTTCCCCGAGTGTAACCCGTGTGCGTGCGCGTTGCGCGTCGCGCCGCCAGGTCCTTCCCCCGCGCTCGCGGACCCGCGCGCCTGTTGTTGCTATCCCGACCAGCATGAAGGATACCCTGCCGCGCTCGCGGCGAGCGCTCCCTCACCGCGGCTGAGAGCGCAGCGGCGCCACCAACCACCTGCTGCTGCTGCTTTGCTCCACCCCGCAGTGCGCGGGACGGGACGTCGCCGTCGAACACCCCCGGCGTGTGACGCACGCCTTGAGAGAGACAGACTCTCCGCGGAGCCCACGCCGCGCCCAGCCGACAGTGCTTGTGATAGTGTGAATGTGAAAAGTGCAAAAAAAAAAAAAGAAA